CCCCCCGGCCAACTCCAGTTTATGTACTGGGCATGACGTCGTATGGTAGGGAATATCTCTTTGGCCAGTCTGGGTCAGCTGTCCCGGCTGTGTCCCCTCCCAGCTCCCCGTGCACCCCCAGCCTCCTTGCTGGCAGGCCAGCACGAGGAGCTGGACTGTCCTTGACTGCTCAGCAACAACCCAAAACATCAGCACATTATCAGCAGTTTCTCATCCCAAATCCAAAACACAGTCTCACACCAGCTTCTGTGAAGAAAACCAGCTCTATCCTGGCTGAAACCAGGACATCACTGTTGGAAGCAGAATACTAAATCTCAGAAGCAGAAAGTACTTTGAAAAATATGGATGCAAGGGTAAGAATTGCCATATCAGATCAAATAGGATGGTCCACATAGCCCAGTATTGTACCTATCAAGTAGGAAACGAATCAATCAGTTTTCATTAAAATTTATCTGGTCCAGAGTTTACTTCTTCTGTGACAACTATAGCCTTCATGTTCTCTGGGTGTTCTCTTGACCTATTCCTTCAATAATGCCAGGAGTGTGACAATTTATTCCCTCTCTCCTGCCCTTAAATATAGATGTTTGACCACACCACTCTGTTAGTCTGGGTCCAAAATGAAAGGGAAGATATTAGTTGTTTTATAGAGCTTACATAGGTTACCATAATTGTTCTGGTATTAAGAATTTTTTGGCATTACGTAATTCATTTTGTTCTCAGTTTTTGCAATTTATTTAGTTTTGTAATGTGAATGATTTTTTTTTTTAATAGCCTTATATTTTAACTTGAGATCAAATTAAGCTGTAAGCATCTTAACAAAGTCTTCTAACGAAACACATCAATTTCACAATTTGTTTTTTGTTTAGTCATTTCAAATTTCATTATGCTGGGAAAAAAGTGGATGATAAGGATTAAGATTTTTTTTTTTCAAATTACTATTGTTTTCCAGTTTCTATGCTGACTTTGTAGTACTGTGTGAAGAATGTGTTTCTATTGTTTTGAAAATAAGAGGAAGGAAATTATGATATCTGAGCTTTTTGTACCTATGGTGATAAAAACCAACATTGTTACTCTACTTCTTTCTCTTTATTGTGCTATCATTTTACAGTCTTATATTGAATTATTGCACTTCTGTAGTAATCTAGTTCACCTTTTATGTGCCAGAGATGATGTAAGTCACTGCTTGTTTATCTACAACCAAATTTAGAAGTACTTTGCAAGAGCTAGTAGTAAAAATCAGTATTTTCTAGATTAAAAGGCTAATTTTAAAAAACCTACATTATTCATTATATTGACCAAAGCAATGGTAGTAGCCCTATTTCTTTCTTCCTCTGCTTGAACTTTTTGAATTATTTTTTAACAAGCTATACAAAGATTATGATTGAAAAATTAATCTTTTTTCAGTTCAGGTCTTGAACTGAAACTTAGGAAGGAACCAAAGGGAAACTGAAGGGACCAAAGTTTTTCTTCCATATATCTGTCCCAACAACTTTCTGTTGGAAAAAAGCAAGTGGTCTTGAATAGACCTTTGGTTGCTAACCTCTAATGATTTAGTGCTGGCTGAAGGAACAGTGTGTGATCTTGCCCATTCTTACCACAGTTTACTGAAGAAGCTGCTATCTTTCACTGACTACTCATTAGTCTGGGTATATTTTGCTATATAAATCCCCTGCTCCTAACAGCGTTGTACCTATAACCCAGAAAGATAGAGGACAGTGACATTTTGTTTAGATTTTTTTTTTTTTTTAATTAATAAATAGCCTATGATTTTCTTTCTGGGAAATCTTATTTAAGTACAAGTCCCCTGGCTCAAAGGCATCTTTTACCTGCAAGCCTATACATAAATCTTGCTTTTATTTTTAATGCCAATGTTTAAATATATTAATTAAATTAATGAATTTACACTTGGAAACTTTTTCTGGCTGGCCTAATATTTCCCAGTAAAGCAATCATGTCAAATGATAGTCCAGCAATATATATACTAATTGTTTTGTGGTGAAAACTGTCAAGCTGGCTTTGAAGAGAGAACATGTTTTAAGGACAGTAGCAAGCATTTGTAAATTTAGAAGTCTTGAGGCTAACATGCAAGCAACAACAAACAAACCACCCTCAAGGCATGAAAATGCACTATTAAAGTGTGATGGTGCAGTTTTGGGTTAGCCCTGATGGGCACATAAGCAACCACACAGCTGCTTGCTCTCTTCATATTCCCATTCTCCCAGTGGGACAGGGCAGAGAAAAGGAAGCGCAAAAGCAAGAAAGCTCCTGGGCTGAGACAAAGATAATTTATTAAAAGGAGGAAAGAGGAAGAAGAAAGAAAGGAAAAAAAATGCAAAAAATCGAGTAATGCAAAGGCAATCACTCATCGGCACCTCTGGCGAGTTGACCAGCTGGTCTCTGAGCAATGGCTACCTTCCCCAAACTCCCCCTCAACTCTGTTTTTATCCCTCAGCATGACATGTATCACAGAATCATTAAGGTTTGAAAAGACCT